TACAAGCACACCGATAACACACTCTGCAAAATATGAGTTCTTGTCATTGAAATGGAATCCCCTAAAATATTGGGATATCATTTTTTCTTGTCAACATCTCCCACTTTTATTATTTAAGCATTTTTCTCAAATATAAAAATACATTTAAGTGTCCAGTAGTGGCAAAATGACTTTGTAATACTGAGCTTCCCAGTTTAGCTCCAGATGTCATTATATAAAAGCAATTCCTTTAATAAAACCCAAGCAGAGACACACCAGGTGCTGAACCCTGGAGCGATGCCAAACACTCATTTAATGAACTCATCCATGATAATGAACAGGGCATCACAGTAAATATTTTCCTTCAATAGACAAAAAACAAATAGCAAGACCTCTTGCTAAAAAAGTGACACTAAATACACCCAATATCTGTGATGTTTGGAGGAACACTGTTGTCCATTGATATTTATAATTGACTATATGACTGTAAATGCAATGTCCGAATACACACCTGGATTTTTTAAGCATAAGAGCATGCCAATTGCTTAATATAACCTCAAATATAAAACCAAAAATTAAAAAAATGAACAAAAGCAGGTTTCATAAAAGCCCGTGTTAGTGTAGTTCCTTCGGGTGCTCCAGTTTCCCTCACAGTCCAAACCCAGGTAAGAATTCTGGACCAGATTTGGCATAAAGCTGGCAAAGCAGGCATTCTTCCGGCACTGGCATACAGCATGTGGGCCAAACATGGCCTGGGTTTGGCAGAGGTGGCACCATCTTTAAGGTGGCACACATGATTTCGGCAAGATTTAAAATGTAGTATTTGGCCCAGATGTTAAATATTGATATGTGGGCCACATAAGTTTGACCCACATTTAAAATACATAAGAATGTTTTGAGTAAAGAAAAAATCTAATAATCAACTCGCCAATCAGAAAAAGCATGCCCATAATGTGCTTAAAGTGCAAAGGGTTTATCAGTTTCATTGCAATCGTGATGCACCAAGCTGGCCCAGTTCAGGCCCAGTTATAAGTTATAAAGTTGGCTGAGGCTTGACCGAGATATGCTCCATGTTTGGCCCTTGTCTGAAAGCCAGACTTGGTCTAGTCATGTAGCGTAATTCACTGCGGCATGAGGGCCAAGCAAAACCTCACTGTTTGGGCTAGAGATGGCCCAGAGAAATTTTGCTATGTGGGAAGACATAAGGTATAGGTAAATGAAATAAAACTAAATTGGTCGTTGTGTATGTGTGTGAATGAGAGTGTATGGGTGTTTCCCAATGTTGGGTTGCGGCTGGAAGGGCATCTGCTGTGTAAAACATATGCTGCATAAGTTGGCGGTTCATTCCACTGTGGTGACCCCTGATTAATAAAGGGACTGAGCCGAAAAGAAAATGAATGAATGAATGTTTCATAAAAGAATGGACATAACATTTGAGCCACCAAATGTTTCAATGGGAAAAGGTTTTTAATAGGACTAAAACTAAAGACTATCTATCAGATTACTGCCTTAATTACGCTTTAATAAAGATATATAATCAGAAAGCAAAGTAAGGTGGTTTCTGGAGCTCGCTAAGGTCAGCTCATTTATTCTGGTTAGGAGTCTAGCCCACTTCCCTGTGTCCTCATGCACATTAATTAAATCACACAGATAAAGAGTGTTTGGAGGAAAATAAAAAAGAAAATCCCAAGCCTCGGGTTGGCATGGAGACTATGACATCATCACTCAATAAATCAGCAGCTCAATGTGAGTGGCAATAAAAGAGCTCATTCCAAACAGGATTAGCTTTAGTCATTTGGTAGCTACAGATGCTAGGCAACCATGCAGTCCTGGACAATTCCAAAAATCTGATCCGAATGCTTATTAAGTTCTCGAGGTGTCACAAAGAGGGTTACCTAACACTCTTGAACCTGAGAATTACGTCCTGTTTCTTTGTAATGTGTTTCTTATTGTCTAAATTAAGCTCTGAAAGGAAACAAACCTTTTAGGTAGCACTGCTGTGCCTGTGCCATGGGTTGTGTCAGTTAGAGACTATTAAAGTGAGAATTTGGGGTCAGTTTTTCTGTATTCTAAACGAAAGTGAGACTTCTAGTCAGCATCACCCGCTTCAAATGTTATCACTTGATTGAATGGGCATTATCATTGGTTATCAAATGGTAATAATGTGCCAGTAGGGTCCTTCTGCACCTACTGGAAGGCTGAGAAGGCTGTCATCATCCACCCACATGGTTGATCAGCTATACTAATAGAAACTCCAGATCCAGATCTGTTTTTACATTATTGTGATGTTTAGGTTTAGGGTTGGGGTAGACGTTAATAAAATGCAATGAATGGGAAATTTTATAAATAATATAAATCTCGTTAACTTCCGGTCACAACCATATCTGATCTATAGCTGATTAACCATGAGTATGGATGATAACAGCCTTCTTATTGAGTAGTGAGTATGACACTGTAAAAAGCTGATGCATTTACATGTAATTTGTGGATGTGTGTAAACGTAACATTCTGTAGTGCATTTAGTTGGTTAGTTAGGTTAGATTTAGGTTGTGATGTCAGGTGACCAAAATTCAAGTCTAGCCAGCATCTAAGGACAACGTTATTTTGATGTCCAATAACGACATCAAATGACGTTGATATTTGGTTGATTTTAGGTTGTTAGAAAGTAAGCAAAATCTAACATCAAGTCAACATCTTAAAACAACATCATATTGATGTCAAAAATGTCAAATAATAAAAATTGACAAATACTGACTCTTATTAATCAGGTATGGCAACCAAAATCCAACATCTGATAGATGTCACAGTGGTAACGTCCACACAACGTCAAGCTGTAAAATCATAAGACGTTGATATTTGGCTGATTTGAGGTTGGACTTTGAATATTGACGTTGGCCTGAGATTTGGTTTTGACATCAACCTGATTTTCATTTCCAAACAAAATACAACATCCCCATGACGTTGGGGTATAATGTGAATCTGACGTCATGTTGATTTCTTACACTTTCTTGGTGTTTAAGGCCATTTCTGCCATCATGCTGGAAACATCTGTCATCTTCTATTTAGTGATATGCATCTAAACAGTCTCTGGGTCAATGATTGAAAAATTTCAAAAATCTTCTTGGACACTTAATGCTTCCAAATGGTTTGCTGTATTTATAAAGGGCCCATGTCATGAGGTTGTTTGGTATGATGCAATTTACTTTTGATGTGCGATTTGATTGGACAGGAATTACTGATTTTTCTAATCCCCATAAACAAGAAAAAAATGAGGTTGTGACTACAGGTTAAAGGAAAGTCGTGGAGTAAAAGTTCCGATACAGAACTATAAATACTCAAGGGAAAGTAAAAATACACAATTTTAAAACTACTTATTGAATTACAATTTTTGAGAAATACTACTCAAATACAGTAATTTAAGTATTTGTAATTTGCTACTTTAAACCAATTCTGATGACCACTGTTAACGCCCATTCAATCGAGCGATAGCTTTAAAAATGGATGGACTCATCAACTGATTAAAAGTGACTAAAAAGACAAACAGAAGTTTTCTATTTCAAGCAATGTAGTTCTTCTAATTTCATCCAAACACTCAAATTTATTAATTTCTAAAGATCATAGAAAGAGTTTATTTGCAAAAACAGATCTCTCTATTTTTATTAACTTATGTTAACGGTATGTTTATGTTGTGCATTGAAGAGTAGAGTTGCAAAAAACACAGATGGAAATTATATAACCAGAGTTTCTCTGTCATTTTTTCAGAGTATTGAAGAAAACATTGCAAAAAAAACAACAACAACAACTTGATTTCTGTGTATTTTAACCAAACTCAGTCCTGGAGGGCAGGTGTCCTGCATAGTTTTGCTCCAACTTTCTTCCACACACCTCCCTGGAAGTTTCTAGTATGCCTAGAAAGAGTTTGATTAGGTTCAGGTGTGTTTAATTGGGGTTGGAACTAAATTATGCAGGACACCGCCCTCCAGGACTGAGTTTGGGACGCCCCTGCTTTAAAGTGTTATTTCTTCCTGTTATTGCAAAGCTGGATTTTGGGTACTTTGGTTGCTCTATTTCTATAAACAAACCATTAAGTGAGACCTTTAGCTCAATAAACCACTAAATAGCTGTGTATTAATAGTTAGTAATGTTGTTGTTGGGTTTAGGAATTGGGTAGGATTAGGAATGTAGAATAGGATAACACTTTATAGGTATTACTTTAATAAAAAACAGCCATTGTCTTAATAATTGGCAGCGGATAAGCCAGCTGTCAATATGAGAATTACCATAACTTATGGATTATTTTTTAAAAATGTACTTAAATAAATAAATCTAACCAACCACAGACTTCTGATTCAGAATGACAGTGTAAATGAGTGCAGACATTTTAATGAACAGTATAAATTCAGCTATGCTTCTGACTGAAAACCACATGTATTGCACATGTAAATGTATGTAATATTTTAATGATATAAGTGGGCGGCACGGTTTCTCAGTGGTTAGCACTGTCACCTCACAGCAAGAAGATCGCTGGTTCAAGTCCCAGCTGGGTCAGTTGGCATTTCTGTTTGAAGTTTGCATGTTCTCACCATGTTTGCGTTTCCTCCGGGTGCTCCCGTTTCCCCCACAGTCCAAAGACATGCGCTATAGGTAAATAGAATAAACTAAATTGGTCGTAGTGTATGTGTGTGAATGTGTGTATGGGTGTTTCCCAGTACTGGGTTGCAGCTGGAAGGGCATCCGCTGTGTAAAACATATGCTGGATAAGTTGGTGGTTCATTCCGCTGTGGTGACCCCAGATGGATAAAAAGACTAAGCTGAATGAAAATGGAATGAATAAACGTAAGTTCTCATGTGCAGTACATGTGAAAAATCATGTGGTGTTTCTGTACTAGTAATGAAATTCCAGATAAAGTGCTTCAAAAAATAAATCTAATTTCAAATAGAAAGAATAAAAGCTTCGTCATCCTCTCAACATTTAAGCACTTCATTAATAAATAAATGAATTAATATGAATCTTTTTTTAGGTTTATGAACAACCGAGTTCCATCTAGCAAGAGATACCAGCCTACTGAGTATGAGCATGCTGCCAATTGTGCCACACATGGAGTAAGTGGAAATCTACTTCTCATCTCACACAGTGTCAAAGCAGGACAAAACAATATGCTGGAGAAACCTAAATTAGAACATAGCAGTGCATGCGATCACAAACTGGTTGGGTTGGTGAGGGTCAACATTTAGCATAAAGACATCAAGAGAGGGTGTTTTCAAGGCAAAGGTTTAAAGCCATTGTCCTGTGACACAGAAGGATCACCAAGCTTGCAAAAAACCTACAGTGATTGTGTGATGTAATACTGCTTATATACCAGACAAAAATCACTGAACAAACCATTTGATAACAGTCATTGTCTGTGTCATACTGTAATTTGCTTGATTCAGCATTGCTTCTGGTCTTTATATGTACATGTGTTTTTTATGGGCATGTTGTGTACGGCCTTGGCTACGTGATGTTGTTTGGATAACATCCTACTCTCTAATCCCCTCCTCTCAGAGCTGCACATCTGGCACTGCTAGTTCACGAGTTAAAGCACGAGACATCGACCACACACCAAATCCGCTTTGCATCGGTACATTGTCATTTGGTGCATATTGCTGAAAATGCCCAAGAGAATTGCACTTCGGCTTCATTTAAAATTGAAAATTGCACTGAAGTGTTTGTGATTATGTCAGAACTGTTACACTGTAAAAAAAATCAGGGTTCCACACAATTCGTTCATGTTGTACAACACAAATCAATTAAGTTAACTTTATTATTATTATTATTATTTTTTTTTTTACAAATGTAAGTTTATTAAGTTTAAAACAATTAATTGTCCCCACGAAAACCTTACAAATTGCGTTTTTTAAACTCATTTTAAATAAGTAGTTTCAACAAGCAGCAAAGGTCCTTTTTTGAGTGTACAAAGGCCTGGAATTGTTGGTTTATTCATTTATTTCTTTAAAAAGGCTTTAAGAAAACCAGTAGGGCTCATAGGATATGTTAATATGATTTGATCAGTCACACATAATGACAGATGGAAAGAGTGTTGGTCAGAAATTGTCAATTTCCCTTTTCCTTATGTAATTAGTATAATCTGATTAGCAAATGGACATACATCATGCAGGGCTGTAGTTGGCCGTTTTGTATTATGTATTATGACACAGTGTTCTAGTAGAGAACAGCTTATTATTATTATCTGAGTCAAGGATGAAAGCAGTTGAGTCAATATCCTTCTGTAGCAATGAAAAGTTCCAAAAGCACGTGAAAACATGGTTTTGGTACCTTGAGGTTAGGGATGTGCAATAAATCGTTTCGGCATCGGTCTCGCAATGTGCGCATCTGCAATAGTCACATAGCAAGATCTGCAATGTTGTTTGGGCACAAAAAGTATGTTTGGAGGTGTAACAAAGATTATCTGAATTTAATTATTTATACAGTTTATGCAAAAAAACATGATGTCTAACTTTACTGTAGTTTTCAAATGGCTGTGCAAATAGTATATAATGCTGTCTTGAGCATTTTCAGGAAGTGTCACCAAAATCTGACTTTTTTTTTGCATTGGAAAAAAATGTAGAGAGTAAACTGTCGTAATGAAAACATGACAAAGCCATTTGACTTATTCATAAACAATGGTGTCAGGACTTTTAATCTTGATGACACTGACACTTTCATGGACATCAATACTTGCTTTTGAGGAATGAGCTATGCATTTTGAGCAAATGACACGCTTTTGCAGGTTATCAGCTAGGTTTTGCAGTTTGTACTAATTGTTTTGAGAAAAGCACTAACTGTTGTGCAAATGTAAAAAGTGTTGTGAGAAATGCACCTAAGCCACTGAGAAAAACTGTAAGATTATTTTAATAACTCCATTGGCAGATAATTTAGCATGTTTTAAGGAAAAACTCCAAATTTTGACTTAATTCTTCTGAAGAATTAAGATTACTTGATCTACAATAAATGTGGTCAAGAAACGAGATAAAGTGTATGTATATACAGCATATATATATATAATTTATTTATTTATTTATTTAATATTTTTTAAATATATAAATATATAATATGTATATATATATATATATATATATATATATATATTTTGCATTGTTATTATTTAATTTCTGTACCAGAAAACTCTCAAATTGAGCTATTCAAGCTATCTTGTGAAACTGTATTCATATCGCAATATTTATTGTAGAAAAATAAAATATCGCAATATCAGATTTTTCCTATAACATGCAGCCCTACTTGAGGTAAATCCAAGTCCATATTTTAATGTTCTTGGTCTTATCTTTTAATCTAGTCAAGTCCCAGAATTCACGACAAGACCAAAACTGTGAAAATATACATATTTCAATAGTCTCTGCCATGAAGTATGAATCTAGTACCCTATGTTCATGGTCTTGGTCTTTTTATGTGAAATATGTGGTCTGTGATCAAGATCATGAATACAAGGTCTTGGTTCTCATTTCCAAATCCAACATCTTATTTTTAGGGTTTTAGTTTGGCATTTGGCACTGAGGAGAATGTGGGTTAAGACTAAGACCATGATAATATGGTGTTGAATTAATAGATTATAGCAGGGATTGTACAAGTCATGATGTTTCCTGGTAGATATTCTAAATGAACTGTTGAAATTGACCCCGATTTTGCTAAAACCCAATCAATTATAGAACATCAAACATAGAAACAAAACAACAATTTATTTAGAAAATTTTGTTATGTTTGTTTTAACAATAAAATGACATAAGGAGAAAGTGCTGACTTTTTAAATTGTATTTAATACTTTGTATATGAGGCTTTTTTGGTAATGAAATCTTCAAGATGCTTATAGGTGATTTCAATCACAAATCAAGTCTAAAAGTATTAATGGTTTTGTGGATCTCTCTGATCTTTAGTTAATATTTTCTCCTTGGGCAGTGTTGTGCTTTAACTACTGAGAGATTTTAGCTGCTGTCTGGGCTTTCCATGCCTTTTTACACCTTCCTTTCTTCATGTGTTCAATACTTATTCCCTGTTCCCTTTTATTTTATTACACAGTAGCTTCATTTATAAACGTATTAGTTTAGCTCTCACTGTATGTTTTACTTTTATTACTTTCGTTGTTGCCAACATCTAGTAAAACTTTCAAGTCAGCGACACCTTTAGAAATATGTTTTCTGAGAAAAAGGGGGACGTGTTCATAAAGGGTGACGCTATATTTATATTGATTTCCTCCTCAAGTCCAAAGTACAAGTCCATGTTTTCCTGATCTTGGTCCATAAGTACTAAAGTTTACACACAGACCAATACTTTGAATATAGGGTCTAGTTTCTTATGTCAAATCTAATTGCTCAAAAAATAAATAATTTAGCAAGTGTTTAACCTAATTGTGTGGCAGCTATGAACTGAATTTTTTTTTCTTGTAATTGGCATGATTGTGCTTTTATTCTGATCTTATGTCACTAGTAAGTTGGTGTATTTTTAGAGCCCACGACGATTTTCCCCTCAGGTGGACAATAAAGTAAAACAAACAACACCATATTTTCATAGTCTTGGACTTAGTCCATGCATTTCCAAGCCCATGGTTATGACCAGCCCTTTTGGCCTTGTTCTTTACAATATTTTCATGGTCTTGGTTTTGGTCCATTGGGTCCATTAACAGATTTTTATAATCTTTGTCTTAGTCAACAAGACCAAGACAATTAAAACAAGGTCTTGGTTCTCATATTCAACTGGAGTACCATATTTTTAGGCCTTGGTCTCAGTCTTAGTCCACATGCCTCCAAGTTAATGAGATCAAAACCATGGAAATGTGAGCAGTGTAGGCAAGCCCTCAAGTTTGAGTCTACAGTATTTTCCATCATCTCGGTCTTAGTCCACATGCTTTCAACCCCCATGACAAGGCTGAGAGCTTGATCTTGACTGGCCCTTGAGTTTCTGTTTAACAATCAATTAAAACACCATTGGACTCCAAACCATACCTAATGATTTTCTGTTCAATTTAGTTCTGGATCATTCCCAGTATCTTGGGCGGCTCAATGTTGCACTTCCTCTCTGATGACCAATGGGAGACCATCTCTGCATGGATGTACGGCATAGGTCTGTCTGGCCTGTTCATTATGTCCACCATGTTTCATACGGTGTCCTGGAAGAAAAGTCATCTTAGGTAAGTCATACTGGAGCTGATATGAACCATTCACATACATTTTAACCTACTTGATAATCTTGATATTTAATTAAAGCATGTTAGCTGTCTATATAAAGAGGGTGTTTTTTAATGAAAAGAAAAATATGGGTGGTATATTTACCATGTTTCTGCCTCAGAGGGTTGAGTAATGAGTAAACACACATACACACTCATTATGAAAGTGCCTTGAGATGTGAAACCAACAGATTCCCTTAGTTAATTAGTAATGTTTCCTGTGCCTTCCATAACATTGAAAAAAAATCATTAAACTGCAAAAGCAAGAGTTTATTATTTAACACTTGTTATGGATTATCAGGGACAGATTAAGTGATTTCAGGGCCCTAAGCAATTCCAGGTATTCCAGGGCCCCACTGAAACTTCAAACATTCTCTTTCACTGTAGATATACTTTTTTTTCTTTGCAGATTTTTTTTGTAAATAAACTGCATGTTACAAATATATTTTAAGTGAAACCTTTATCTTCTTAATGTAAAAATAAATACAATAAATGTACAAATAAAGAACAAGTGAGCAAGTTCACCAACTAAGCCATATTTGTGAATAGATTTTAATATTTGCACATGCAGTACAAAAGGAATGTTCCATAATTCATGGGGGCCCCTGGTTTTGAAATGAAGTTATAACATTACAATCTTAATGGTTATAGACAGATTTGATAACATATGATAGAACGTTTATAAAAGAGCTATATGATTAATATAGACTTCTTGGCATTGATCGGGGCCCCCTAATATCCCGGAGGCCTAAGTGGCTGCTTACCTCGCTTATTGGTTAAGTCCACCCCAGTGTATTATAAAACAAATGCATTTCAAGAGCACAAGCTATCTAGAATTAAATATCCACACCAAACATGTTGATGACCAATCCTTGAATTTACTGAAAACAAAGACTTATATGTCATCTGCGGGCAAACATGACTGATTATTTGATGTCTCATGATGGCTATTCTCAGATAAAGATTAGTTAGGTAGACTATATTACACTGTAGTGCTGCACACACTTCTCATATGCAGTAATTAAAGGGATAGTTCACCTAAAAATAAAAAAACTCAGCATTTAATGACTCTTAAGTTGTTTCAAACCTATATGAGTTTCTTTATTCTTTACATTTTGATGAAATGCTGTAACCGTTATCCAAAGAAGGAAAAACAAACACTATGGAAGTCAGTTTCTTTCAAAGAAATTCATAAAAGGTTTGAAACAAGCGAAGGGAGAGTAAATGATGACCACAGTATATTTTCCGATTTTGTAAGCTGTTGTTTTGGGTTTCAATGTATTTGCATATTTTATAGTAGGAGGAAGTGTCAGCTGCAGATTCAGTGCATATGAATGAACTTTGGATCTTCATCAACATAAGCAGTCACACATGAATTCACATTGACATGGTAGATATGATCACACGGGCCTGTCAGTTCATGTTCAGCATCAGTGTGTGATTCAGTCATGACCCTGCCCTTTCCAAATTACACTCACACAAAGATGAGTGTCATTAGGCAACAACAGCGTTCAGAATTGTATAAATGGGGTGTGGAACGTGCTTCACAACAGTTACCTACATTTTAATTAAAGGCACAATGTGTTACAAGCACAGAAACTGTGGATCGCCAGCGAACTACACACACTCTATCGGACTACAAGCCCCCGTCATGCACCTCGCACACAGCTGTTCCCGATTGCCATTGATTAAATACACATAGCCAGATGATTGTTAATGACTGATTACGAAGACTATTTACACAGCACGCACACACACATCAGTGCTGAGTCTTGTTTACTGTTTTTGTGACATTACGACGCATTTGCCTTGCTGTGTTTAAACCTCGCTTTATTCTGTGTTTACATTACTTGCCGCCTGTACTGGCCGTTCACCTGTTATTTGACCACGACTCTGGATTCCCTGTATGTACATGTTTGACCCTGTTGTTGCCTGCCTGATCATTCACATAGTAAGCTGCACTTTGATCCTCTACTCCATTGTCAGCGTCCCTCACATGACACAATGTAACATTTATTTCATTAAAACATCCAAAAACACTAGAATATTGTAATTTACAGGACTGAGTGTGCCCCCTGTGGCCATGCTAATGATGTTACGCACCCTCAGTGTCCAGTTTGGTTTAATAGAAAACAGGGAAATACCAAAGACGCTTTAATATGTTGTTTTATTGTCTGTTTTCAATGCAAGATTTGCGTACTTTAGCTCATCCATGAATATAGCTGCGTCCCAAATGACACACTATACACTGCACTATGCTCTTACACTCTCAGCAGCATAGTATATGTATGTAGTGTCGTCCGAAATGGTACACAATTTTTTTTTTACTGAGCGGAAATTCAAAACGTTTCCTTATGGATGTTTGACGGTTTCCAAATTAGTGAAATAAATGACCAAAAATAGCTCTAATAATAATAATAATAATTCCATACAGACCGCACACCACACACCAGCTGATTGGTGGAGATGAGACAGAGTGAAGAAGCCAATTATGATATGTGGATGATTAGGAGGGCATGATGGACAGACGCCAGTGGGCAAAATCGGCCAGGATGACGGGGTTAAACCCCTACTCTTTATCGAAGGACATCCTGGGATTTTTGATGACCCCAGAGTCGGACCTCGGTTTAACATTTCATACGAAAGACCAAACCACCAAATAATACCTGCCATGAGTAGAACTGCATTCACCATTGGGGGAGCTATAATCACTCTCGTAGAAGAATTTTCCTTTCTCAGACCAAAGTAAAGTAACACAACATCAATGCTTCCTGAAAGCTCCTCCCCTTCCGTTATGTGGGCAAAGCAGCGACTGTTGAGTGTGTGAAGTGTCCAACATTATACACTTCTTTTTAACGATTAAATAAGTGCGTCACCGGGGTATTTAAAGTGCACTTACTCTTTTTAGAGTTTTCAGTGTGAATGCCCTACTTACACTATTTACTACAAAATGGCGTAGAATAGTGCATATGTATGCTATTTGGGACGCACCTACTGATTTTTGCATGAGTTCCATAAGACATAACAAAGACTTTCGTGATTGCACACTCAGTCACTGTGTCATCAAAATACGCCTTTGTTTGTTGTGAATATGCGCCCTCTACTGGTGAAAAGGATTTACTGTGCCTTTAAATGGGCCATCATAATGACCCGGTATACTCACGGCAAAGATCTTTTTCATGTTTTGATTGGAATAAAAGGATGAAAAGAATCATTCAGTGATGTAGTGACACATTTAGTCATTTAGCTGACACTTTTGTCCGAAGAGACTTACAATTGAGGAGGCATTCAGCAATTCAACAAGAATGGGCAATACACACATAAAGTGTTAGTTATACAAAAAAACATGTAGAGTAAGAGCGCTTTTTTAGAGAGAGAGAGAGGGGCAGGGAGAAAGTGCTTCTACAGGTGGTCTAGGTTTTATTCACCAGGTTAAGGTGATCTGGGAAGAGATGGGTTTTAGTTGTCGTTTGAAGGATCCCAGTGAATTCGCAGTCCATGTGAGAATGGGAAGATCACTCCTCCAGCGTGATAATGAACATTTAAATGTAAATATCAGGGTGTCCGTGGGGTTCTTAAAAAGGTCTAGGCCTTAAAAAGTCTTAAATTCACTCAAACACCAATAATCCATCTCAGCTATCAGACATGTTTACAGCAAATTCTCCTAATTTAATTCCCTAAGTAGGGTAGGAAAACTAAAGCAACACATCACTTTACATCAGGCATGTCCAAGCTCGGTCCTGGAGGGCCGGTGTCCTGCAAAGTTTAGTTCCAACCCCAGTCAGACACACCTGCTAGCTAATCAAGCTCTTACTAGGCTTTCTAGAAACATCCTTGCAGGTGTGTTGAGGCAAGTTGGAGCTAAAATCTGCAGGACACCGGCCCTCAAGGACTGAGTTTGGACACCCCTACTTTACATGATCTTCCAAAAATACAAAAACTATTTACTGAAGTAACTGACAAAAACTATTTACTGAAGTAACTGGGTCATTAGAAAAAAATCCTTCATGTTTAGCCCTGTACAAGTCTAAAATTTCATTCATAATGGTCTTAAAAAGTTTTAAATTTGACTTAAAGAAATTTACAGAAACCCTAAAATATGTGCTGCGCTCTTTCCTGTCAATAACAAAATAAATAAGATAAATGACAGCAATCAGCGATTAACAAAGTGTCATATCGTAGTGAAATTAAATTTTTGCACAAACTTCACAAGCATCATGCTTTATAAAAGTTTTATTAATATTTGAGAGATAAATCATATCTGATAATAGTTGGAATGGATCCCTTTTCTTCGAGTGGCATACTAGCTCCTTTCCCACATACAAACCTTTCTGGAGAATTACTGGTAAATTGGTATTAAAAGATCATCTGTGAAAAATACCGGAAAATTTGTTCTGGCAAATTTCTGGAATGTAAGAAACTGTGTGAACAGTGCATTCTTTAATTTACAGATTTACCGAACATTAAAGTACAGCAGAATTCTTTTAACGTCATCCTGAACTTTGTAAAACCATTAGTTTCATGCGTCACAGATCTGAAAATAGACCCTAGTGAGTGTGCATAAGTGCAACATTCTTTTAATTTTATTGTAAAAAAAAAATTCACACACAATAAAAAACAAAACATCAATAATATTACGAATAGTAAATTTTTCAAAATCAATTTTATAATGATATGTACTTGTTAGTACTAGATTTTTAAAAATTAATTGTGATGTTGTGTGTGATTTTAAGTTATTACTATACAGTTTCTAAAGTGCTCCACCAATCGGATGATTCCTTACCCACTATAAATAATTTTAGAGTAAGTTTCTTACCTCAGCCATCTTCGTCTTGAGGAATTCCACCTTTCACCCCTACTCCTCCCTCCTTTTCCTTGACAGGACGGCACGGTGGCCCAGTTGCCTCACAGCAAGAATGTAGTTGTTCAAATCCTTGGCCAGTAGACATTTCTGTGTAGAATTGACATGTTCTCCCTGTGCTTGCGTGGGTTTTCCCTGAGTTCTCCGTTTCCTCCCACAGTCCAAAGACATGCGACATAGGTGAATCGACCAAACCAAATGGCACCATTCAAGAGCTCTTAATCAGCAATTCCTAATTGCCATTAGCCATAAATAAGCAGGGCAGTTCTTGAGATCTACCTGAGTTCAAACTCCTTCTCACTTTACAAAGGGGTGGGAGCCCCGGGCTCAAGGATCTTATGAGCTCAGGGTTCTCTCCCAGGACAGCATGCCCGGGAGAGCATGAAACATAAAAAGAAAACTTATTAGAATTAATTACATTCAGCAGACCATGAATAACCCTAAAATTTGAGAATATTAGTGTACTGCATGGTTTACAAAAAGAAAATAATCTGAAGATACAGAACAGATGTCCTTGTGATTTGTGCTTGGTATTTAAATAAAAAAGGCACAAAAAAATACATCTATTGGATAAGGATTAACCTTTTTTTTAAATACATTCAGTAATTCAATTTTAATTCAGTAACAGTAATTCATTAAACTTTAAATGGAAAATCCCCAAACAACCCACAATTGAAATCACAGTATGGCAGTTCTGTTTTTCTGTACATCGGAATGTCAACCCCACAAAAAAAACAATGAAGTGCTTCAGTTTTTTTCTCCCTTTTTTATAAAACAGTAAATCCAAACAGTCATGGATTATGATTGTTACATTTAGCTTTAGAAATACTACTGTGACTAAAGAGCTTACACCTTCTGCTGGATTAACCATTACAGAAACATACAAATATTGTAAAACGAAGGAGGAATTTTTCACAAGCCTTACATATTAGGTGCTATATATACATGTTCAAATGAAAATTGCTCATTTAAATTACTTAAAAGATTTCACCTTATCACTGTATTTACTGTCTGTTTATTTTTTAAATCTTACAAAAATTATTTGTGAAGAAATTTTTATTTGTCTTATAACAGAAAGGTGGAGCAGCGATTCCACATGTGTGACAGGATGGTGATTTATTTCTTTATAGCTGCATCATACGCACCCTGGTAAGTGAGATATGTGTGTGTCGGTCAGTAACCTTACTGTCAGCATTAATGAACTCTCAGATCTGAGTGTATTTGTGTGTGTGTGTGTGTTCAGGCTGAATCTGAGGGAGCTGGGCCCCTGGGCTGTTCACATGCGCTGGCTGGTGTGGATCATGGCCTGCGCCGGCTCTGCATATGTCTTCTTCTTTCATGAAAAGTAGGAGACCACTTGATAATAATCACCCTCACACCTTCCCTCTGATAGCTGACTGCGTGAAAACACTGTGCTGGTCCTTTAATCGACGAGTCATTGTATGAATTCTCAACTTTAAAGGTGCCATAGAATGAAAATCTAGATATACCGCAGCATAGCTGAATAATAAGGACATGGAAATGATACACCGTGAGCCTCAAACGCCATTGTTTCCTTCTTTTCATGTGATTGTAAAATCACAGAACTGACTCTGGACGATTCATACAGGATTATTATGTACGCCTATGTTTGATTGGTCGATGTTTCCTAATGAGATAACAACAATCATTTTCTCCCCTTATTTTTAAGTTGATCAAATCTTGTAGTAAATATAAGATGCATGTGGGATTCTGGAAAGACTTTTTACTGCCCTTCACCCTCTAGTTTCCACCCATTTCCTTCACTAGGATGTACATCATTGAATACGTTACAGAACATCTTGATGGGTTTAAATGGAGTGCCCTGTGCAGCTGTACAAAAGATGTCGCTGTCACATTTTCAAAAGGTACGCTTTTGCACTTTAGAGCCGCACATTAGTACCTTTAGGGTAAACTTTGGTACCTTTGAGGCACCCATTTATATTTCTTAGGTAAAAAAAAAAGTAAACATATGACACATGAACACGACTCGCTCCTTCTGTGAACATTGGGATGTGAAAATAAGGGATATGCCCACCATAATAAGGGATCCCTCCTTTAAAAACTCCCCAAATTACTAAATATGTTCATTTGGAGCTGTTTCATTGTAAACAGTTAAATGGTCAGTAATATGCTTTTTATTATTATTTACAAACGAAAATAAATAGTATACATAAGCAGCAAATAAATTAGCAAACAGTTCAGCTTATTAAAATGAATAGCTACTATAATGAATTGAATCAAGCTATCAAGTCTCATTAGCCGTTTCTTCACTGTATAACTTTAATAACACATTCTGATTAAAGAGCAACAAATAAATCTCTTATTTATTTAGATTCTTTTCATTTGATTACATTAAATTACAGGTGTCACTGTAAAAATGCACAGATCTAATGTTATAATGAAAGCATTCGATTGCTCCTTTTTTATGCTCATTTAGGACGAAATAGGTTGTGTTTGAAAAAAACAACAACAAGATCGACACCTTTAGATGTTATTATTATTAATTATGTGTATATGTCTGTTTATACACATAACTTTCACTCATCACTTATAGACTTTCACTCCACTTCAAATCGGGTGTAATCCATTTGGGAAACAGAGTATATTTATCACTATGGAGCGCGTCAGCTGACAGTCACGCACCGCTATACGACTGTTTTGAGGATGGCATATGAAAAGGAGATGGTACCTGTAATGAAAAGGAAGGAAATCGCGCTATTTTTATATTTTTTTCAAAGTGTTTTCATGCCTGAACAAAGCGAAAGCACAGAACAGACACACATTGAAGAGCAAGGGGTGGCCTCTGGTGGTTCGGCGGTAAGGGTTGCTTATAGGAAAGCTCGTCTCTTTAATGTTTCTTGCCATCCTTCAGAGAAAAACTGAAAACATGGGAAAAATATGGGAAAATACCTTTACGGGATGATAGTGGGATAGAACTTAAAATTTGAGAGAATCCTGGGAAAAACAGGAGGGTTGACGGGTATGGTCAAAATCGAGGGATAATAGAGGAGGGTATGTCTATGTAAACTTCCCTCAATCACTTGAATTGGAACACACTGTAAAATGGTGGCAGGGATTCCCCCAAAGGAACAAGTTAAGGGAAGTTTGCAAATATGTGTCTAAAAGTGGACTGGAATGCAGTCAGGGAGACAAAAAAAAAAGAGCACTTTGTGAAATGCATGTCCACAGAGTCATATCTGTTCACAGGTCATAAGAACACAAAATGCAGGATATACAGAATACAGATTTATTCAGCAACCCCCGAAAAATGACCATCTCCAAATATGGTCAAAACCAAGCTTATCTTTTCTGTGGATATGAATGAGCATATAAAACCATTTCTGAATAATCTCTGCACTTATTTAAGCCTCATACCTACTATGTAGGTATCAGAGAACAACTGAACATATATTATTATATCAATGCATTCTATGGCACCTTTAATGAAACCGCTAAGGATGCATCTCCTGTAAACTTATCTAGACTTCACAGTCTTACACTTACACTTAATATTGTTGGTAACACTTTACAATAAGGTTTATTAGTTAATGCATTTACTAACATGAACTAATCATGAACAACACTTGTACAGCATTTATTAATTATAATTGAACATTTACTAATGCGTTATTAACATTCAAGACCATGCTTGATAACATTAGTTAATGCACCATGAGTTAACATGAACTCACAATGAACTACTGTATTTTCATTAACTAACGTTTACTAACATGAACAAATACAGTAGTAGATGTATTGTTCATTGTTTGTTCATGTTAGTAAATGCATTACTTAACATTAACTAATGAACCTCATTGTAAAGTGTGACCATATTGTTCAATATTTATATTCTATTCTGTTATGTTTTTATTTATTTTCTGTGTGATGTGTTTGACCAACTGGAACTGGTCATAGCATCTACATATAGTTGTTCTTCAGTTGATCTTGATTAGTTCTTTTGGCCTTTAGTCATATTCAAAAATCAATGAAAGATGAATCTTTCTTGTTATTAACACTGTTATTTTGTACTCTATATTAAACACTCTCTAGTGCTCCAAGACTATAACTGTCTAATATTTCATTTTCATAATAAAAGTCACTTTATAATCACCAATAACTTCTTTATCTATTCTACTTTTTTTTTTAAATATAACTTTTTAATTCAAATAACTTTAAAATCCACAACAGCACTTGTTTTTCTATTATCTATTCTGTTTTCTTTTTGTGTTTGATGAAATAAATACTTAAACAAAACTTTTCTATTAAAAAAGAATGATCTGCCCCACTTTAATTTAAATATATATATATATATATATATATATATATATATATATATATATATATATATATATAAATATTATATAAATATTATATATATATATATATATATATATATATATATATATATATATATATATATATATATATAGTATACTGCATTAAATTAACTCGGAGTTGTTGTATTATTTAGATACTGTTGTTATTTTGCTGCTTTGATAACTTCTGTTGAGCTCACTTGGATTAAAACCCTCTACCAAAGGATTACAATGTAAATGTAGTGTAAACAAAAGCATTATGTGTGTTGTGTTTGAGGAATAAGATCCTGGATCTGCTGTGCTACACTGCTATGGGTTCTGTTCCTGCGGTGGTGCTTCTGTCAATGGTACGTGCGACTGACACCTATAGATAAATTTATAAATACAGCATAACAGCCTTTTCACATGACTTAAGTACATTGTACAGCATTTCTGTTAGCTGGTGTTGCTACCTTTAAGCCTTTACAAGCCCTATGTAGGTCTTTATTTTAATAATATCATTCAGTGAGTTAGTGAAATTGAGCCATTCTTTGCTTTCACAGTGATACGACAAAAACATAAATTACCCCAAAACATGATTTAAAAAATGTCAACACTGCTAACATGAAGAAAAGTACCAATTCTGGCTAATAATTCTGACTTTAACTGTATATGATTTGCATATTTTCTAATAAAATAAAATTGGGAACGCATAGCTCTGTATTGACACCATAAACCATAACATAAGCTACTCATTGATAACATTTTCTTCACTTCGGCATACAGAAAGAACAGAAAGACATCACCTGTATGCAGTGTAATGTGTCATTTCTCTGTGTGTGATGTGTCCAGCCGAATCGAGAGGGTGTCCTGGAGCTGTCAGTGGGTGGACTCTTCTACTGCCTGGGCGTTGTGTTCTTTAAGAGCGATGGCCTCATCCCATTCGCTCACGCCATCTGGCACGTCTTTGTGGCAGTCGGGGCAGCCATTCACTATTATGCCATTTGGAAGTACCTGTACGCAACTGGGACCTGCCAAATCAAAATATCCAGGTGACAGATGCTGAAGACCTCAAGAGTTCACATACACGGTTCGCTGAGCTATCCACCTTTTTCCTACGTCCCATGTTGCTTTGCATGAAGTATGAGAAGTCAATTAGTCAATAATTGGGTACGATGAGTTGGCGTTATTCAGTTCAGTTTATCCATTGAACATCAAAAGGCGACTTATTAGAATTAACAAATTTCTTTCAGCAGACAATGAATAACTCAAAAAAACTCAATGTTTACTCAAACATCAGACTTCAAGTGAAGTTTCAAAAACTCATTTCGAGAGGAGCACGTGATATGATTTGTGATATGACTACAGCTGGTCACCCATCTACAATCATTAGTTAGCCAATCAGATTAATCCAAACTCACTATAAGTAGCCTAGCTGGAACTACTCCCTTACCTTCGTTTTCCGTAGAAACCCCCCATCCACCCCTTCTCCTTTACCATGGGGAGCTCTTGAGAACCAACTGATCTCGTACTCCCCTTACATGCTCTATTGACCAGGCGGGAGCCCTGGGCTCAAATGTCTCCAAGCTCAGGGTTCTCTCCCGGGACAGCATGCCAAACCTGCTAACATTTGTCAAACAATATCTAAGTGTGAACTCTTGAAACTACATAAATACAAAAGTCAACCTGGGTCAAAACCTTTCCTAAAACTATTCAACAACACCAATTTTTGTCTAGGGACAGTTTTGAACAATATTTTTGATCCACTTCAAATGTTGACTAATGTATATTTTTTGTTCTTCAGATATGGTGTCTTACACATTTTTACTGCATATTTTTCAACCACCCATGCATTGAATATTAACATACTGAAGGGAATTCAAGGAGAAAAAAATGAGAAATAAAACTCAGTGAACTCAAAAGAGGCCACATATACAGTATGATATGAATGTTACATTAAAAGGCCAACTGTAACATTATTTTCATGGTGGATAAATAGTAAAAGCTCAAAGCCAGACGTACCTCTAATTCAGTTTTCACCCTGTACACAACCTGACAAAAGTCTTGTCGCTTATTGAAGTTTTAGGAACAACAAATAATAACTTGACTTCTAATTGATCATTTGGTATCAGAGGTGGCTAGATTACGCTTATTTTACCAAAATAAAATATGATCATGCCTTGATTTTAATTATTTAATTATTACAGTAAGGTCTGACTTTGCTTAGGCAAATAATGACCAGTACAAAATATAAAGTCATGGTGCAGTGGAAAAAGCATTAATATTGTGTAAGACTTCCATGAACTTGGAGGACTGCATCCATACATCTCTGCAATGACTCAGATAACTTATTCATAAAGTCATCTAGAGTGTCAAAGAATGCCTTCTTGCAGGACTCCCAGAGTTCATCAAGAATCTTTGCATTTATCTTCAATGCCTCCTCCTCCATCTTACTCCAGAAATGCTCAATAATGTTCATGTTTGGTGACTGGGCTAGCCAATCCTGGATCACCTTGAACTTCTTTGCTTTCAGGAACTTTGATGCAGAGGCTAAAGTATGAGGAGCGCTATCCTGCCAAATGTAACCCCAAACCATGATTTTTCCTTCACCAACTTTGACTGATTTCTATGAGATTCTTGGGTCCATGCTGGTTCCAATAGGTCTTCTGCAGTATTTGTGATGATTGGGATACAGTTCCACAGATAATTCATTAAAGATATCTACCTTCTGCCACTTTTCCAAATGATCAACTAGAAGTCAAGTTATTATTTGTTGCTCTTACAACTGAGATCGATGACAAGACTTTTGTTAGGTAGCGTATACGGATTATATGCAGTGCATATAGCCCATAAAAAAGTGCAGTCATCACGTTTGGAAAAAGGTGGATGAAAGAGTATATTTGATAATCACAAGCTGCCTTTGCATCCCTCTATATTAATCATAGACGGGCATGTTCTAGTACTGTTGCTCTAAAATATATTTTTATATAGACGTTTTATTGGACAACTCGCTATCTTCAGGCCAGTCTGTAGTCTTAACCTGTTGACATAATGTACTGTTATATCTATCAGTGTTTACAGTGTGCAATGCAGAAGACGCTATCAAAATAACATTCCTTTAGCAGAGCTGTCTACTGCCTGTAAAGACATTAGTTTTGATATTGTATGACCAGATTGAGCTCATGATTTGAAGATAATTTATTGACGCTTGATGGCACAGAGCAGAATATACTGAAGGATTTCTGCTGCTTTGATTGTGTAGTCATGTTTCAACAAAACGTTACTCAGAAGTGACTTTAAAGGGCCATTCACTCAGAATGCATTTGATTTTCATACACTACTAAACGTTTTCATTGTTTTTCTATGTGAACATGCTTGGTGTGTGTGTTTAACGGCTATCGAATGCCAGGAGGTTCAGTTTTAACTAGTTCTTAACACCTCAATGACTGCACATAACAGAAACAAGTGATTGCAGAAATATCAGATAGATATGGATCGGAAAGATATGTTAATTTTAACACCATCTATCTGTTGCTTTGCATAAACGATGGATTGTTTGTAAAGTGTACATGAAACATTGTTAAAATTCACACATATTTCAATGTCTGACATCTTGATGGACAACAATTCGGCAAAATTGACAGCTATGTTGTTAGTTATTTAGCTAAATGCTGATCTTATTTGTCACACTTGATGCATTTATGATGTTAACATTGACATATTTAAACCTCCTTGCATTAAGCCTACTTGATTGCAGATCATGTGATCATGCATCGTTTGCACATTTTCAATGCGTTTTCTGCATGTACAACGGTTACATATTTGAACCTCTTTGCCTGATGGTTTGGAAGTATGTGAAATTGATGTCTGTGATCATGTATTGTTTTCAGGTTGTTTATACACAAATGCACAGTGGACATGTTTGTGTGTATGTGAATATGTGTGAATTTCTTTGTGTTTAGTAGTCAGATGGATCAGAACAGAAGTATGTGAAATTGATGTCTGTGATCACATGATGTTTTTTTACACACCAATCTTTTAAGCGTAGTAGCAACACAATCTCACGGCAATTTGTAACTTTTTGATTTAGTGGCTAATTCGTATGAATTCGTACAATCTAATTTGCACAATTCTGTACGGTTTGCTTATCGCCCAATGACGGTTGGGGTTAGGGGTGGGGTTAGGTGCCACACCTCCTTTTTAAAATTGTACGAATTAGCCACTAAACTGGCAAAACGTAAAATACTTGCGTCTCCTCTTGAGATCAGGCTGGTGGTGGACATAAAAATAATGCATTGTTGATCAATAGCAAGATCAAAAGTACAGGAAAGTAGAGCTGCATTATAAATCAAAATGAAATAGAAAGTGTCATTTAGAGAAAGCTACGATTGTCGTACATATCTAGCCAGGGAAGCACGGCTCTGTGATCAGTAGTAATGCTTTGGATGCTTCGAGGATGCTTGCAATGTTTGTTTTGCTAACAACCTTAAGAGAACATTCCCAGATACTTTCTTCTAACCTAGAAAGTACATTCCAGATAGAATATCGGTGTAGAAAAACTGTCCTGGCTAACCAACAGAGAAAGTCTTGATTACACAGGGTATATGTAGGAATCCTAAGGATAATTTCAATACATTTTAAAAACTTTTTAAAGACCTCAGAATACTTAAAGATCTCATCGCCACTTCATGTTCTAATCAGTATCAAACCTTTAACTTAATAAACAGTTTTTAAAAAACAGTTGTAGTTAAATAAATCAATGGAGCACAACCATGCAACAGAACTCAAATAAGCTCAGAAGAAGCAAAGCTTGAAACAATAATTCTCACAGTTGTTTTCAGCCACTGTTTAAACTCGTTTTTTTTCCAACCAGAAGTACGCAAACTTCCATTTTCCCATTTTGCCATCTGTTTCGCTCTATGGTTTCGCTACATGTGGAAAGCGTCACATCACCTTCTCGCGTTTGTCGCAAATTATGTGACATCACCCGGACAGAGGACCTTGGCTGGACGCTCCCAGGCCCGAACCAATCTCGTAGATTAAGCACACTGCAGTTAATATTAGGAGGAAAATAAATATATTCATGCTTTTTTGGAGTCAATGCTTGAACAAAATTTAAGACCTCGTAAAAACGTGATAAAGACTTTTTGGTCACACTTTAAAATAAGGTTTATTAGTTAATATTAATTAATGCATTTACTAACATAAACAAACAATGAACAATACATTTACTAGAGTATTTATTCATGTTAGTAAACGTTACTTAATGAAAATACAGTTGTTCATTGTTAGTTCATGTTAACTCATGGTGCATTACCTAATGTTATCAAGCATGCACTTGAATGTTAATAATGCATTAGTAAATGTTCAATTATGATTAATAAATGCTGTACAAGTGTTGTTCATGATTAGTTCATGTTAGTAAATGCATTAACTAATGAACCTTATTGTTAAGTGTTACCGGCTTTTAAGTGTCTAATTGATTTATCAACATTTTAAACATTTTAAGACCCCTCGGACACCCTGTTACATATGCAACTCTCATCTCTGCACCAAGGAATGAAAATGTTACAGTAAGTCATACAACTATATGAAATAGTAGATGACTAAATGTGATGTTTGAGTTTTAAAAATAAAAAAATTCCTGAAAATGAACATTCCTGTATTGTTCTCGGAACTTGTCAGCTGTGGCGCTGTTTGCATTGTCAACATGTTACGTGTCAGTTACACATTGATCTTTTACATGCAAATAATAAATAGCTGGCATCAGTTCCAGAAGTATGGACCAATCAGAAGACCATGAATGTTGCAGGCTATTGTTTACAATGTCATGACAGTTGCTTTATCTGATGACATGAAAACTAAATCCTTGTCTGTGTTCTGAGCTACACATTTTTTAAATGATTGGAGTGTGCTGGATCTCACTTTTCTATATGCAAAGATGCATTCTTTTTGAATGGCCCAAAAGGTTCAGTTTTACTGCACAAATTTTCTATTGTATGTGAACATATGCACTAGACTGATGTGTTTTACAGTTGTGCTTGTGTCTTTTGCAC